ACAGTGCAACAATGAATGAATGAAAACCCAAAATCTCTGTAAATGTTCATTAAAACTAATAAAATTTAATAATAAAAAATTATTTGTTGCATGAATGAAACATGATACTATTTAGCTTGAGGGATGATTTATAATCCCCCCCATCCACTTCCTAAATAACATGCCTCCAGAAACCCTATGAACTTTGATAACTGTCTATAGTTGTAGAGGGGTTTCAAGCCTTTTGTTCATAGGATCACTATGAGTGTTGCTCGACTTGAAGGCAAGAAACAACAACACATCTCCAAACATCAGTAAGATTGTTTAGACTTTTTAAAAACATACATTATTTAAGTTTGAAAAGATAAAAAAAATTATTCTATCTTCAGTTCCTTCATTCACTGTAGGCCATTTTATCTTTTTAGGCTTCAGTGTACCCATCTGAATAATGAAGAGAATATATACCTTATACAATTGCTGTGAGGTTCAAAAATATACATAAAACCCCTAAATGTCAGTGGATAACAAAAGCATTTCATATTTTTAAGTACATATTAGGTTGCTGTTGTATACTTTAGTTGTTCTTAGATGCCATCAAGTACAACTCACAGCAACTCTATGAACAGGCCTGAATCCTGTCCTATCCTCCTCATCTCTGATACACTTGAGCCCACTGCTGCAGTTATCATGTCAATCTACCTCATTGGGAGTCTTCCTATTTTTCACTGACCCTCTACTTTTCCCAGCATGATATCCCTTTCTTTATAATGAGTAGCCCCTCCTAGCAACATATCCGAAGTATGAGAGATGAAATTTTGCCATCCTTGCCTCCAAGGAACACTCTGGCTGAACTTTTTCCAAGATGTATCTGTTCTTTTGGCAGTCCATGGGACATCTAAACCAACTCATACCAGACTGACTCTCTATTGGGTTTTAAATCATGTGGGAGGAAATTGCCCATCTTTCTCCCACAGAATAGTTGATGGATTAGAACATCATGCATTTGGGTTGACAGCACATCTCCACTAAACCACCAGAGCTCCCTTCTGCGCCTACCATAAACAATAAATAAAAGGAATGAAAATCAACATTGGTCTGACTCCAATTCTGTCTTGCTTTCTTATTTCTTCCCACCTCTACCTCTATGAATGATAATGTCCTACCTCAGTTTGAAAACATCATATCAGATTACATCTCACCAAATGAAACTGGAGGGAGCTCTGGCAGCCGAGTTCACAGGGAGTTGCTGTGCTAACCCAGAGTCCATGCCTCTCTACTGGTTTGAATCCACCAGCTGCTCAGTGAAAGAAGGGCATGCAATTAGAGCCTTAGAAACTGAATGGAAGTCCAGCTGAGTAGGTTTTCACTCAATGGCAATGAGTAGTCGTACTAGAATTATG